TCAATGCGAACGAATACATTCTTTAGCTGCATAGTATGTGCTTCCCTAGGCTACATACAGTTTTGAATTCAGAGTTTTCCTTCTCCTAAACCAGTTGCCAATCAAGGCTATAGAACCCAACCTGTCCTGCTATTTACTCATAGCTGGGAGGAGAAGAGATGGATTCATGCCTTTCCCATTGTATTAGCATGTAAGTAAATGTAACAAATGTTTCCTGAATCTGAGCCGCAATCTATTTCTCCCTTTTAAGAGCTACAACGGAGAGGAAATCATGGAGAGACATGATTGCCAAAGTCCTAAAGGATACGTCAGATAGAAGAAGAAAGTAAGAAATCCGTGAAAGGTCATGATTGCCGATATCGTGTAGGTTCTTGGCTTAAAAAAAAAGATTATTGGGTTATTTAATATCAACATTACTTTTGTTCTGCTTGATTCTATTCGTAAATATTGATCAAATATATACTTAAGTCTATAAGGAAATATTGGTTAGATTTAAACTCGAGACTATAAAGAAACATTAGTTAAAGTTATAATTGAGTCTATAAGGAAATATTGGCTAGATTTACACTTGAGACTATAAAGAAAGATTGGTTAAACTTATACTTGAGTCTATAAAGAAATTGGTTGATATATACTTGAGGCGATGAAGAAACATTGGTCAGATATATATTTAAGTCTCTCAGAAAATATTGGTTAGATTTATACTTGAGACTATAAAGAAACATTAGTTAAATTCATACTTGAGTCTATAAAGAAACATTGGTTAGATTTAAACTTGAGACTATAAAGAAACATTGTTTAGATTTATACTTGAGTCTTAATGAAACATTGGTTAGATTTATACTTGAGACTATAAAGAACATTAGTAAGATTTATACTTAAGTCTATAAGGAACATTGGTTAGCTTTATAGTTGAGTTTAAAGCTAAACATTAGTCGGTTGTATACTTGAACTTATATGTAAATATTGATCAGGTTTGTACTGTATTAGATAATAATTGGTCGGTTTTATACAAGAGTCTATAAATAAAAATTGGTTTGGCTTACACTTGAGTCTGCAAGTATCCACTCTGTAAGTGACACTTATTTATTTATTTTGGACAAGCGTGAGGTCTCATCTCGCTGCAAGGGATAAAGTCGACATATTCTAAGCCACGTCGAAAGGGATGGGATTAATACACCACCCAGCACATATTATTCTCAGTCGCTCACCCATCTAGGTACTGACAAGACTTGACATTGTTTACCTTCTGGGATTGTACGAGAACAGGTGTTTCATCGTGATATGGCCGTAACACGTGACAACCAGAGATGGTAAATATTGCAAGGTTACTTAAAGCAACAAAAGTCAGGAAGTTGTGGAGAGCTATAATCGCACACTTTCTGAAAAGACATCGCACTAGGTTACTAACTGTTAAATGTCTTCCACAAAAATGAGGAATAGATAGATAGATAGATAGATAGATAGATAGATAGATAGATAGAATGTTTATAAGTACATGAATGTAGAGTTTAAAGTAATCATTAGGATGTCGATTTTCCTTACTGCAGAGGATATGCTTACCATTCAAAATCTATGCCTTTACTTGAAGCTGAACATAGAAATCTGGCGCCAATCTCTATTGCTAGATAGATACTCTCAGGCAATGCTTGACGGGTAGGCCGTAAGATATTTTCAAATACAGTTGTTAACTACAAAGTGATTCTGGGCGAAGGTTATTAGCAATAAACCATATCCGGGATATGAAAGATGACAAGCAAGGAGTGTATGCACACATGTACAAATAAACCCATATATCTATCTATCTAAATATATATATATGTGTGTGTGTGTGTGTGTGTGTGTGTGTGTGTGTGTGTGTGTGTGTGTGTGTGTGTAAGCAAAATGAAAGTAGGTATTATATATATGTATCTGTAAAGTCTAAAAACAAAGAGAGGCTGCCACTGCTGCTGACGTCGGTGTCCCATTAAAAATGTCAAAGTCCTGATCACGTGTCCAAGCGAGTATCCAATCAGCTGATTTCGATTACTTTCCTTACCGGTTCTCTACTCCCCCCTGTCCTTCTCCATCACACATCTATAAAACTAAAGCCAGGACCTGGTAGCATCAATCGACACTATTTGATCTCTCTCTCTCTCTCTCTCTCTCTCTCTCTCTCTCTCTCTCTCTCTCATCACTTTTTTATTCCATATCTCGCTTCTTCTTCTTCTTTCCATCTCTTTAGCTGTTAACCCCCCCTTCTTTCACTTTAAAATCATTACTTCCTCCCTTACTCTCTTATCCTCTTCTCGTGTCTTTTCTTTCTCACTCCTCCTCCCATTAAATCCTTTTTTCAATAGTTTACATATTCTCTTTTCTATCATTCTTTTTCTCTTTTTTTTTCTTGCACTATTCAGCTATTTTTCCATTCTTTCCTCGTTCATCCTCTCTGTCCCCTCTCACTCTCTTTCTCTCTCTCTCTCTCTCTCTCTCTATTTATATATCTATCTCTATATATATAGTCTCCCACTTTTCCCTTTCAGTCCCTCTCTCTCTCTATCTATTTATCTATCTATCTATCTATATATATATATATATATATATATATAGTCCCACCTCTCTCTCACTCTTTATATATATATATATATATATATATATATATATATATATATATTCGAATGTAATGAGAAACGAAAATAATATATAAATTCTAACGTTCAAAGCATTAATTCAAATGAGGGCTCAATACAGATATTGAGCAATAATCATTTATTATAATTTTTATATATAGACAAAAACAATTCAGTATCTGTCTATATTTTTGAGATTATGTATTATGTAGACTTTTTATATTATTCGGACTATTGTCCTCATCTTTGTTGCCATATTTATTACAACGTTTCGGTCGTTGTATGCTCCGGCCTTCTTCAAGTCGTTGGAATGTCGAACTGAACCCTTTATTTCGCTCACTAGGGTAGACTGTTCTAGTTCCACGTGCCATGTCTAATGGATGTCAGTTATCGGTTATCTCCTGTTAATTCACCTCTCCAAGTCCTCCACTGCCTTAACTAGGTATTGAACTCACAACTCTTTGGGTCCTGTCACTGGATCTAATCAACGCCTTTATCCACCAATCGAGGTGCAACTAAATGCACTGAAATGAAGTTGCATCTTTGTATTGAGTAAATTGTTTTTGTCTATATGAAAAAATTAATATATATATATATATATATATATATATATATATATATATATATATATATATATATATATAATAAAATTTGTTATATTTTAGGAAAAGGATGCAAATATCAAAGATTTGTAACTCCCAAGCGTTATTCAGATCAATATAGACTGAACCATGAAAAACGACAGTTACCATTCAGTGTTGATTCGTTGTCCCCATTGTCCATATATATATATATATATATATATATATATATATATATATATATATATATATATATATAGTCATACGAGGCTGGCATCCCGCTCTCACCTTTTCACTGTCGAAACTGTTAAATGTAGCCGTCTCTTCTACTCCAATAGCTTCATATCTCGCACCTCTCGTCTGTGGAACTTTTCCTGTTTCCCTGATAGCTATAATCTCCAACTATTCAAATGTAATGTCACTAAACATCTCCAGTTGCCTTGATCTATCCACTGTCCTTCTCCTCATCCTTTCTTCTATCACACCTATCTGATCTCGCTCCAAATCCTATGTAACCCTTTGCGTGCTGTGCTAGTGGCTTCCAGCCTTGCTTGGGGTGAAATGCTTATAATATATATATATATATATATATATATATATATATATATATATATATATATACATGTATATATATATATATATATATATATATATATATATATATATATATATATATATATGTGTGTGTGTGTGTGTGTGTTGCTTCGTTCGCTCTTTTTCTTTCTCATCCACCTTTCTCTTACCCTTTCCATTTCAATTCACTCTCTCACATTCACTTCCTACCCTTCTTCCATTCTTTTGTCTTTTTATTGTGCGCCCTTCTTGATATGAAATAATATATGTATATAACACATGACTGAGGTGATTAAATATTAAACAGCGGAATCGATAGCTCATCGCTGCTCGAGCCGAAAGTAAAATGAGAAGACATACCCTTGTTTATGCTCCTTCCGTGCCGATGTCGGGACGACAATCATGTCTGAATAATTCAACTGCCGAGTAAAGGTTTAGAGATAGACAACGCTTGAGCGGCTTTGAATTGGCAAACAAAGCACACTAATAGTCCCGTTCGCAAGATAGTTCTGTGGTTAGAAAACTGTGTAAAAAAAAATAAGAATCTAAGTGTCACTGTTCAAGTGATATTTAATGGATTTACTATATCAGTAAACCACTAAATGAATGAAAAACTGGCTTCGTCCTTAGCAAGAGGTGTTGACCAAAATGTGAGTTACAAATTGGAAACTTAAAAAACCAAGCACAGAAACAACACAGGATACGCAGATGGCAATCTTAATAGTAGATACCAAAATAACTACAGCAACTCTAAAACAAAGTCGTAAAAGAAAGCAAGAAGAAAGGACTAACTATCAATTATAAAAAAAAAAGATAGAATATATGGTCATTAGCAAGTGGAACAGTCCAAGATTCGAACTACGAATTGGGGATAGTAAAAAAAAGCGAGAGTAAAGGACTGACCAACAATTGTAAAAATACACAATATATGGTTATTAGCAAGTGGAACAGCCCAAGATGCGAATTAGAGATAGTAATAGAAAGCAAGAAGAAAGGACTAAGTATCAATTGTAAAAAGACAGAATGCATAGCCGTTAGTAAGGGGTACAGCCCAAGACGCGAGTCACGAATTGTAGATCTCAAATCAAACAAGTACAGAAATATACTTATATAAGAAGCAACAGGCGACAGAATATGTGATAGCTATCCAAATGTATACTGGAATAGAGAGAACTACTTTCCAACGACTAAAGTGTTACAAGATAAAAAATACATTTCTTAGAAATAAAGAAAAGATAGCGGGACTACGATTCAATATCAATCCTCCTATATGACAGTTAATACTGAATAATTTCTTCGCAGATGGAATGGAAACTTCAGGCATCAAAGATATTTTTTCTACAGAAAAAATCTGAGTAGTAACGATGAGGCTGATGCGTAACCACTGGGGAATAACAAGTAATGTAAGTTAAGAAACAGGCCTAGCAAGCTGGTGATAGGTATAATCTCGCTACTTACACAACAGAAGACCTCGATATGCGATGGTACTTCTAGACTGACAAGACCTATCTGTATACGAGTGTGTATGTAACAATTTGAAAAACTTGACATATTTCACCGATGATTCGGCGTCTTCAGAAAAAAGGATTTAATTTATTTTAACAAAATCTATATTAACAAGACAAAACGTGATTCACAGTTAATATGTGGACGCTTGCTTTTTGAATTAACTTGTATCGTTTTATAAAATAGACTTTTACTAATTTAAACTCAGTTTTTACTTTTTATTTATTTATGCTTTCACTTATTGTGAGGCCTTTGTCTCCCACATTGTTTCAGTAATAATTTAGTAAGAATAGGTAATAAAGTGAAAGAACCTAGTCATATATTAATCGTAATGAACTTGTAGATTATGACGCTTTCAACACATCTTCGTCCGAGTCAATTATTTTTTATCATTATTAAAACGGCTTTTTCCAGGTCAAATTTGTGATCATGAATATTTCAGTGGATTACAAGTGCATTGAGCGTATTGTTGAACATGATATATGATGAAATGACTATTCATAATAAAAAAAATGTCAATAGGGTTTTATTCAACAAAACTATACATAGAATTTTTAATTGAATATAAACATTCGGTCCATGCTCTAAAAATAGGTTTTGTAAAAAATCCCAAAGCAAAAGCATAACAATATGCAAACGTTTAAATCGTGTGCTTAATTTTGATTTCCGGTATGGGGAGGTTACTCGTGATCGAAAAATAAGATCTCAAAAGTTTTCTTTGATATTTTTCTTAACTTATCTATTTCACTTCTTTTTTTTTTTTTTAGTTGTTTATTAATTTTGATGGGATCATTTCATATCGTTCAGTAATTATGACGGTGTGGTGTGTAGGTTACCCTTACTTGGCTTTGCCAGTATTCGACAAGACGATGTTAAACAGAAATAAAAACACAACACACCTTGTTTCTTTTTGTTTTCTCTTTTTTCTTTTTCTTTTAGCATGCGAGAGAAAAAAAAACAACGGCACGGGAATGGTTTCCAGCATAGAGTTATCTTTCCCTAAGTGACCGAACGTTTTCACACACACACACACACACACACACACACACACACACACACACGTTTATCACTCACTATCTATATTTCTGAGATTATGTATTATGTACACAATTTACATTATTCGTACTATTGTCCTCATCTTTGTTGCCATATTTATGACAACGTTTCGGTCGTTGTACGCTCCGGCCTTCTTCAGGTGGTTGGACACACCGTTCAAATCTTTCACAATCTATGAAGAACAAACTGAATATATTAGCAAAAATTAATATTCCCAATTTGGTGCAGGTCAATTTGGGTTACCCCCACTTAGATTCACCAAGACGCCGTTAGGTGATGCTGTTAAGCATTTATAAGAACAGGACATTCCTTGTTCCTTTCTCCTTTCTCGATTTTGTTTTTAGCGTGTTGGAAAAGTAACACCAGCACGGGATTTTTTCCCAACCTGTGGATATCTTTCCCTCTGAATATCTGAATACTTTCACACTCACAAATACAGACACACACGATTCCTAATAGATAAATTTTGTCTCTTTTCTTTTCAGCTATATTTACGTGCATACACGTCTTTTTGCTCTCCATTGTTAACCATTCAATTGTTATATAAAAACCCATGAAAATACCACCCCTTTGAAATGTATAGCATTTCCTTTCATGGTTACAAGTAATGACGTACAAGTGAAGAATTTGTTTATCCCTGCTTTTACGCCAACTAGAAGCAGTACTGCAACAGGTTTCATCTTTTCTTTCATATATTCAAGTTTCAGTAACGAAAAAAAAAACTGTTATATCTCTTCAGGTCAGTAGATGCGATACCAACGCCTTTGTTATACTCTCCAGGTCGACAGAAAATATTGTTTAAAATATCAACTAATTCTAAATACCGAAGGGTTCGTTTACGGGTCCCAAAACCAAGTAAGAGTTCATCATTATTGTTTTGTGGTCGCTTTCTTCTTGGCTCTTTGCCTTTTCAATAGGAGTGGCTTGGCTGCCTTTACAGGTCCCGGACCTAAGTAGGAGTTCACCAGAATTATTTTGTAATCTTTTTATTCTTCGATCTTTGTCTTTTCAATAGGAATGATTTGCCAGTCTTTACAGGTCCCGGACCTAAGTAACAGTTGACTATTATTATTTTGCGTCTTTTTCTTCTTCGCTCTTTGTCCTTTGGACAGGAGTGGCTTTACCTTTGTTTAGAGGTCCCGGATTCAAGTAAGATTTCACCATTATTATTTTGT